CTACACAAGGTCGGTGGTTCAAACCCATCAGCTGTTCCTTGGCAACCCTATACAGGGTCAATATGAGTCAGAACTGACTTGACAGCACTCAACAACAATGATACGTACGTATTTGAGAGTCCTGCTGTGACACTGTAGGAAAACTACTGGACCTCAGGTTGGTGGTTCAAACTCACCAGCTGTACCTCAGAAACCCTAGACAAGGTTGCTGTGAGTAGGAACTTACTTGACAGCACTTAGCAACAACAATAACAACAAATATTTGAAGGAGCGCTGTTAGCATAGTGAATTATGTGTTGGGCTGTTAGCCGCAAGGTCAGCAATTCGAATCCACAGCCGCTCTGTGGGTGTGGTTCAAACACAAGGTTGGTGGTTCAAACTCACCAGCTGTACCTCAGAAACCCTAGACAAGGTTGCTGTGAGTAGGAACTTACTTGACAGCACTTAGCAACAACAATAACAACAAATATTTGAAGGAGCGCTGTTAGCATAGTGAATTATGTGTTGGGCTGTTAGCCGCAAGGTCAGCAATTCGAATCCACAGCCGCTCTGTGGGTGTGGTTCAAACACAAGGTTGGTGGTTCAAACTCACCAGCTGTACCTCAGAAACCCTAGACAAGGTTGCTGTGAGTAGGAACTTACTTGACAGCACTTAGCAACAACAATAACAACAAATATTTGAAGGAGCGCTGTTAGCATAATGAATTATGTGTTGGGCTGTTAGCCGCAAGGTCAGCAATTCGAATCCACAGCCGCTCTGTGGGATAAAGATGAGGCATTCTGCTCCCGCAATGATTTTGCTTCTGAAATCACATACAGGGTTGTTTTGAGTTGGAACCAACTCCATGGCACATCACCACCTCAACCACAGATATTTGAGATGCCTTGAGGGAGGGAATCTCCTTTACTTGTTGCAATTAAAAAATTCTATAAATATCTGTTATATAGGTCTTAGCCTGTTGAAGCTTAAGGAAGTTACAGAAGTCAACATTTTGACTCTGTAAAATGGGTGTTGAGGTCTTACTGTGAAATTTGAAATTATATGTGTCAAACAGTCCCACAATTAAGTGAATTTTAATTTGATACACAGTCTATGTATAATCTGTGATTGAAATTTATAATTGCAATGTATGACAGACAAAAAAAAATGTTACCATTTAAGAAGATTTTTTTTTTTTAATGTAA